ATACCGTTCTAACAAACTCAATAAGCAAAGAGCGAAAAGCAACCGGTTACGATGACAGTTCGACGGTGAATGTATGGCGAAATTACTTAATTCCTTTTTTATGATTTTATGGTATATTAAAACAACTGACTTTCGATATTTCAATACTTAATAAGGTGAATTAAGCCTGTTAGTTCTCAATTAATACATGTTTTTAATCCTTTGTAAAAAATATTAATTTCATTATGCATCAAATTAGTATAATAGCAGAATCAGTGGAGAACGCTACTGCCAGAGATAATGAGATCCCCAACTCCTCTCTCACTGGAAGTGCTAAACGTCAAAACCTACCGAACTTTGACAGTTGACTGGATTGAGTAGGTTTTGACGTTTTGCAATTGGAATGACTGGAACGGCCAGACTGAAATTATACCAAAAATATATGTGAACGGAGGAATTTATTGCCGCCGTTCAAGATCGCTAATGAAAATTTAAAATGATGAAAATCAAAGAAAATGCGAAATTTAAATATATATTATGAAACGTTTTGGAATTTGATGCATAATAGAATTAATTTTCTATTACAAATGATTAAAAACATTTATTAACTTAGAACTAACAGGCTTAATTCACCTTATTAAGTATTGAAATATCGACAGTCAGTTGTCAAAATCATAAAAAAGGAATTAAGTAGTGTCGCCATATATTAAAAGTCCAATATATAATGATAAATGTTGGGTGTTTTAATTTAAATGCCCAACAATTTTTATTTTGCTCAATCTGGCCATAATGGAAAATGTTATAAAAAACGCTTGTTTTGAGGCGCTCTTACACTGCAATAAGTTGGGCATCCCATTCAGAGAACTTAAAACATAGAGAAGGCGCAAATTGAATTCTGTATGATATTCGATTGGACAAGTCCAAATTGACTATAAATATTACTATGCATGCATTCATACAAAATTATACTCATATCATAATTATTTTTACATGCCAATATGGAAATATCGACGGCAAAACGCAAAACCATACATATTTGCATACAGTGCGAAAGCAAGAATTGAAGCATGGAAATATCACAATGCTGTTGTTGAGAGTATCATAAGGAGCATGCATACATATATTTATGTCTCTTCATATTCTTGAGTATGTGAGAGCTGTATTTGTACGCATTTTTCGCTGTTAAAAGTGGAATATCAAAGAACTTATTTTCCTTCAATATTCCATGATTGCGCATACATGCTATGACATCATATCCCATACCTATATTATTTCTCTTCATATTCTCTGTTTGATTATGTGGAGAACTGTTAAAAATGTTAACATTTCACATCGTGAATTCTATGGTTGTGAGGTGAATTCCCTATCACAATCTTATAAAATGTTCGACATCGAACCTGCACCTTCTCTATGTTTTAAGTTCTCTGGATAAACTACTCAACAGCCGAAATCTTGTGATTAAGTGTCGGTCTGAACATGGTATAACATACACACCGCCCTTTGCGTTAGAAATAAACGATTCACGTACATATGGTTTGAATTGTCATGTGCGGAACACAATGCTCCCGACAGACTGCAGCAGCACGACAGTGAACTAAAAATGGCGTTGGGAATCCTACTACATGAACGTTTGTGAGAGGGCAGCAACATAACAATGGCCAGCATGTACACAAAACAACTCAGTTGTCAATTTTGCATGTACATAATTTCGTTGTGGCCATACTAATACCTTGCACTTCAATGAAATTTTAATATTTTGTTCAAAGTGAAATTTTTAAACAAAAAATAAGTAAATAGGTAAAAAATCGTGTAGTCGTGCAGCTGTCGATATAGGTCCGTCCATAAGACTGTGTGTATTTTAATATTTGACAGATGTCGTTTGCAGTCTGTCGCGAGCATTGTATTCAACACATTAATAGCGGGATTCTGTAACCAGTCTCTAGTCTCTATTTGAGACATTTTGTGGTAAAATCTCAATTTGTAACTAGTTACTATTCACTAAACAGTCTCTAGCTTTACCGTGCGATTCTGTACGGTGATACAGTATCAAGTCTCTAAATTTGATAGAGACAATTTTTGAGACTTGAGACGATTTTGCTATTCTGTAAGTGACAGTCACAAAATCTATTACATTTAATAATTCRGAGATGCTTTTAAACTTGGATGAAAATAAATATGTCGATAACAAAAATTAAATTTTCTATAACATAGTCAAAAAAGATAATTATCAATCAAAATAAAATTATATGTTGATTTTGTTTCATAATATTTTCGAAATTTTTGTAAAATTTATTTATTTTTAACCTTTTCGACTATCGACTAATATCTATAGTGATCTCTATTCAGTATATTCAAAATGGCAGACAAAAGTTCTTTTTGGGTTTGTGACTTGCTAACTACCAGGTCTCAAATTTAAGGCAATATTTTGAGACTAAAGCTAGAGACTGTTTAGTGAATAGTAACTAGTCACAAATTGAGATTTTACCACAAACTGTCTCAAATAGAGAGTAGAGACTGATTACAGAATACACGACTGCAGGCCGACAGTAGTCGTTCTCGCTAACTTCAATTTAATCCTATATTTGCCAACGACAATAGAGTTGAAAATAGAGTTGACAGTAGAATGGAAGATAGAGRRATGAGGTAGAGTGGTGATGCCACTAATATGTAAAATGTAAAATTATTCACAGCTCTAACAAACTTGACGTTATTTTACAAATAAAAGCATAGAATAGCCCTGTTATACCCTAGACAGACATGTGCTTTCAGTACTACTATTTGTACTACAATGAAAGCTCATGAAACCATACACCAGCATAGTGACACACATCTAGTATGCCTACCTAGTACATTCAACAGCTGACGTAAATATTTTTAAATATATAAAATGAAAATAGACGTTAATACATAACCGCAAATTATGGGAGAAAAAAAAATTTTACATTGGCTCTTAGGGCTTTCAAATCAAGCAAAAAATATATCAGGCTTGCGTTAGAAAAAAGAATTTTAAAAAGATATCGAATATTTACCATTGACCAGCAAAATGGTAAATATTAAACAGGTAGTTTTTAACATATAAAGAATTTTTTACCTAWTAGGTGGAAAATTCTCAATTCTGGGAAAGGGATTTTCAGCTATTCAGCGAGGAAAAATTTAAAAATGCATTCCGACTTGAAAAATGAATTGCTGTCGCTTTATACGCGTTAGCTTCTTCCGCAGAATATAGAACAGTTGGTAGTCTTTTTGGAATCGGTCGCACAACAGTAGGAGCAATAGTGGTACAATTTTGCGAAGAAATATGCAGAGTGTTTAAGAATGAAGTATTCGATGAATATCCGCCGAATGATATGAAAGTGAATGATATAGTCTATGGTTTTGAACATTTAGGATTSCCGCAATGTTATGGCGCAATAGATGGGTGCCACATTGAAATAAAGCCTCCAAAAAACGAAGCCAGCGATTATTATAACTTTAAAGGGTGGTACTCGACGGTTTTATTTGCAGCAGTAGACTATAGATGCAGATTTACTTATATCAATGTTGGTACACCAGGACGAAGCAATGACTCCACATTATTTGAGCAGTCGGCTTTGAAAAAGTGCCATTCCGCTAACGAAAATTTTAAAAAATATGCAAAAACAGTCGAACGCATTGAGGTGCCGATACTCCTTATAGGAAATTCAGCATTCAAACTGTCTAAATACGTTATGAAACCATTTCCATTTTTTATTAATCAAACAGAAAGTGAAAAAATATTTAACGGACGCATTTTATCGTGCCGAAAAGTTGTGGAAAATGCTTTCGGACATTTAGAGGCTCGCTTCAGACAAATTGGTCGAGGTCTGGAAGTTAATTTAAAAAATGTTATAAAATCTTGTTGCATTATTCATAACGTATGCAACAATAGAAATTACAGTGTCAATCTGCAATGGATTCAACAAGCAAACGCTGGAAATAGCGGAMGGCAACCTCATAGAGCACACATAGACAGACAAGAAATCTTTTGCGAAATTGAAATTCGACAGGTAATTATGACACATTTTATCCACGATAAATATTATTTGTAATTTTCACAAAGAATTGATATTTTTTTATTTAAATATGTTTATTTAACATAGCCATAAGAACGGCGTTGGTTTGCTCCATCAATTTTAGGGCCTTTTCCTCATTTTCCAAAGATTTATTGAAATAAGCTTCCATCATCTTTTGCTCTTTTTTAGCCAGTCGAGATAATCTTCATCACTATTCCTCTTTCTCTTTATTGCAGCCGACGAAGTTGATGGTGCTTCTTCAGGTCCACTTTCATTTGACAATGARGATGCCGCCATCGATGTGTCTAATGGATCCGAAACTGTGGAAAAAAAGATGTATAATACATTCATTGAAATTGTAATATTGAAATAAAATAATTCCTATTTCAAAAAAACCATTTTCAATGCTTTCGTCGGCCAGTTCGTGTGTGAAATTTGATTTATAGCTGCCAATTATTTTGTGTATGTCGTCGTAGAATTCCCAATTAGACGGAGCTCCTCCGCTTGGGCCCACAGCCTTCCGTTCCTGTCTGATATGTTTAAACTATCACATACTTATTATTATTGTATAATTATTTACAAACCTGTACTTCTTTGTTAAATTATGAATWCGATTTCGCAGCTCGGCTGGCGCGAGGAAAACACCGTGTTCATTTATTATTAAATTAAATTGTGCTCACACTTCAATTATATTTCTTATTGCTGCATTCCCAATATATTTTTTTGGACTTTCTCCATATTTTTTGTCTTACCGCCACTGATAAATTTATTTATTTTTTATTTTGTCAGCTGGCAGCGAAAACATATGATTTTAACAGAATGAGCTCTAAAGCTTTGGGTGTGTTCAATGCGATCCATCATAGTACATTGTAGAACACCACTGAATTTCAATGGTATGTAGTATGCTATTGTAGTACGGAACTCTATTTGCTTTGGAACAAAAATGTGAAATACTGATGACACACATTTAGGTTCCATATTATACTACATTATGTACTATATGTGTGTCTTGGGTATTACATCATTTGTAATAACAATTGATAATTTAAAACGAATAAATTTACCTATTTACTTATTTTTTGTTTAAAAAATTCACTTTGAACAAAATATTAAAATTTCATTGCAAGGTATTAGTATGGCCACAACGAAATTGTATACATGCAAAATTGACAACTGAGTTGTTTTGTGTACATGCCGGCCATTGTTATGTTGCTGCCCTCTCACAAACGTTCATGTAGTAGGATTCACAACGCCATTTTTAGTTCACTGTCGTTTTAGTTCACTGTCGTGCTGCTGCAGTCTATCGCGAGCATTGTGTTCCGCACATGACAATTCAAACCATATGTACGTGAATCGTTTATTTCTAACGCAAAGGGCGGTGTGTATGTTATACCATGTTCAGACCGACACTTAATCACAAGATTTCGGCTGTTGAGTAGTTTATCCAAAAAACTTAAAACATAGAGAAGGTGCAGCTTCGATGTCGAACATTTTATAAGATTGTGATAGGGAATTCACCTCACAACCATAGAATTCACGATGTGAAATGTTAACACTTTTAACAGTTCTCCACATAATCAAACAGAGAATATGAAGAGAAATAATATAGGTATGGGATATGATGTCATAGCATGTATGCGCAATCATGGAATATTGAAGGAAAATAAGTTCTTTGATATTCCACTTTTAACAGCGAAAAATGCGTACAAATACAGCTCTCACATACTCAAGAATATGAAGAGACATAAATATATGTATGCATGCTCCTTATGATACTCTCAACAACAGCATTGTGATATTTCCATGCTTCAATTCTTGCTTTCGCACTGTATGCAAATATGTATGGTTTTGCGTTTTGCCGTCGGTATTTCCATATTGGCATGTAAAAATAATTATATGAGTATAATTTTGTATGAATGCATGCATAGTAATATTAATAGTCAATGGACTTGCATATTTAATAACTTTATTTGATTTTTACATAATATACTCAATATTTAGTATATTAGTATAAATATATATGTATGTATATGTATACACTTCCGAACAAATAATGCACAAGCATCCAAACATACATATGCGTACACATGTGAATATGTCACCAACAAAAAATTGAAACATTGTTCTACAAAAACAACAACTGTCTCAAATAGCATAAGCATGCCAAGTCAATATGGCAGCCGAATTGGCGAAGACCAAATGTAGTAAATTTTACAACAAAAACGATTTCATTCATAAACGCAGGCGCAATTCTATAGGCGACCTCGCTTCATTCATAAAAACAGACGCCGTAACATCACCCCGAGCATGCCTTTGCCAACAAGCGTCTTTTCGCGACGATGGCAAAAGCTAAAAATCATAAATTGAACATCTTTCTGGTGTTTGTTCTAAGAAAGAAGTGAGAAAAGTGGCAACGTAGCTGTTGTCGATTTACAATATTTGTCAATTCT